CCACCAGGTGCCCTTCAAGGTCCGGGGGAAGGCACCCTGCCTGGCACAGCCTGGACCATCTCCTGTCCACAGCCGGGACTGCTTCGCGCCCGGCGCCCACATCCTGCCTCTCGTTAAACATTGAGTGTGACTCCTGCGAGTTCTCTGGCATGAGACACTGCTGCAGTGATGGGGTCGCAGCAGGGACGGGAAGCCGGCAGGGCGCAGGTTGTGTTCGCCAGGCAGGCTGTGCTGCGGTGCAGGGGGACCAACCGGAGGGAAAGGCTGACCCCCGGGTGCCTCAGAGTCTGGCACATTCCAGCCGCTCCATCGCCCGGCTCTCATGGGACGCGCCATCCGGGGACATTTTGCAGACTGGGGATAGGACTGTCACGGTGACGGGGGTACTGATGGTCACCAGCGTGCAGGGCCCTGGGTCGAAGCCCTGCCCCTCCTGCCCCTGCTGGCTGGGCCCTGGCAACTCCCCCAACCCCCACACCTCTGAAAACCACATTCCCACCAAGCCTTCCTCAAGGGATGGACTTGGTCTCCACGTCTGTCTGGGGACTCTGACCGGTGGGATGGCGTCTGGAACGTCACCGAGAGCCACCCGCGATTTCGGGAGCTTGTGGGATGTGGTGTCAGGCACGGGGCGGCTCCCCAGGGCTGTCTGGACGGTTATAGACACAACTTCCTTTTGTCTCTTTTTATTGTAGTGAGGAAGCAGGATTCAGATTTGAAAATGAAGTTTATAACTAGATGCTATACTCAAGATGATAAGACACGTGACAGAAAAAGGAGGCACGGACTGAGCACCCGGAGAAACACCTGGAATCGTGCCCCCAGTGGGATGCAGCCCCCTGAGCACCAGGACAGGGCCTGACGGGGCAGGGGCGGCGCTCCAGGAGTCCTGTGGGCTCGGCGAGGGGGCGCCTGGGCTTTCTCCAGTTGATCTTACATTTTAAGTAGGGACAAAAATCCGGGAAGGTGTCTGTTATGAGTCAAGTCCTGGCCTCATGGGGCCACTGCTGCAGGAATCACTGTGTGGCCTCCTGGCCCCGTCCTAAAAGCGAGTGCCTGGCCTCCTGCTTGTCTGGCCCCATCCTAAGGTGAGTGCCTGGCCTCCTGCATGTCTGGCCCCGTCCTAAAGCGAGTGCCTGGCCTCCTGCATATCTGGCCCCGTCCTAAAGCGAGTGCCTGGCCTCCTGCTTGTCTGGCCCCGTCCTAAAGCGAGTGCCTGGCCTCCTCCTCATCTGGCCCCGTCCTAAGGCGAGTGCCTGGCCTCCTGCTTGTCTGGCCCCGTCCTAAAGCGAGTGCCTGGCCTCCTGCTTGTCTGGCCTGCGGCAGGCTCTGGCTTCGGGGCTTCTGCGGAGGGCGGCTCCTTCCTCCTTCCCATGTGCTGTGGTCATCGTCTGTTTGTAAATTTCAGTCTCTCGCTGGGGCCCACAGGTGGTGTTTTCTGGCTTGTGACCCAGAAAAATTGTCAAAGTCAAGGAAGATTCTTTAATGAGATGTTACTATGAAAGAGGAGCTTACTCATGATAATCAAACAGCACAACTCACTTGTCAGCTAAGGCCACGCTTTCCAGGCCGAATTCTGTTCTGGTAGATGCTTTAAGTGTTTCATTTTCATTTTGTTTCTAATGAGAATGTAATGTGACACAAGGCTAACCTCCAGCCACAGACACAGAGAATCACCTGCAGCAGGTTAACGGGACCCCAGTGCCTTCCAGGCGCTGCATGAGTGGCGTTCAGGGCCCAGCTGCGTCTCTCCCTCTCTGCCCCAGTGTTGGTCTTAGGAGGAAAACGTCCAGCCTGACCCGTTCTATGACACACGCGTCGCTCACCTGTCCAAACACTTCTCTCCCCGCAGCGGGTCTTGGGGCTCCCGAGTGGACCTGGGGTGAGTGGGGCAAGGTTTACCGGCAACGCCCACACGTGCGTTTCGGGCTCAGCCCTGCACCCACTTCCCAGAAGCCCAACACGTGCTGAACGCTCGCGGGAGGCCGGGCCCCTAACACGCTGTCCGCTGTCTCGGAGGCGGGAGCCACGGGGCCCAGGACCAGAAGAACTGAGATCCGCCTCCTCCCACGGGCTGGTCACGGCTGTAATCTCTCCTCTTTGCTTTCTGAAAAATGAAATGTTTATCAAAGGCCTGAGTCAGGGTGAGGGGATTTCAGAGGCAAATTCCACACAGAGCCGTGAACTGAGCTTCATTCACCCCGGGAGGGAGGCGGGTGCGGCCCCTGGCAGGGAAGGCCCCTTCCCCTCGGCTGGCACTGAGTCTGCGTTGAGCTGAGCTGTGACCACACAGATGCGCTGTCCCTGCATCGGGACGCACCTGCAAGGAGATCCCCACCGGAAATGGGCCTCGTGGACTTTGCCCCAAAACGATTTCCTGTTGTTGAAAAAACTTTCAATCTAAATTTGAAGAACACATTAAGTATATACTTTAAAAATGATAATAATTTGGGGTATAATACTGAAGAATTTTAAAAATCTGATATTGTAAAAAAGTACAGTCTGAGGTTATTTTGAAAATTTGCTTTCTGATATTCTCTTAATAGGAGCAAACCTGGGGTTGATCTAAGGAATATCTAGAGTTAACATAGTAGATCTAATAAATATCTAAAATTAACATAGTAATATAGTACTTTTATATCGTTAGATATCTCAGAGTTAAAAAAAATAAAACTCAAATCTGGGGCTTTAGCAGTCAGTGGATTATATACCTGGTACTTATTGTTCTCTATGGCTATCGTCCTACTATTTTTTAAAGAATTTGAACAAAGTGTCAACTAAAATAATTCACGTGGTAGTAATAAAAATTTTTTTTTTTACTAAAAAAAAACCTTTCAATCTAACTGTCCCCCTGAAATTACACAAGCAGGGTTTATTCTGGTATTTTTAATGTAAAAGATGATTTGATTATTTAGAAAACAGTGCATGCCTGAAGCTGTGCTTGAAAAGGTAAATCTCTTGAACCTGACGGCAGAGTCGTGCTGTCCTTGCTGTCCCCCCAACCCTCCTCTTTCTTCTGAAGGAATTCTGTGAAAGACCTGCAGCCATCCTGCCGTCGTTCCCCCAGCGCTGACCCAGTCCAGGGCATGGCTGACCGTGGTGTCAGGGAGGCGACCGTGGAGGCTTGGGAGTTGGCGGGAATTTGAATTTCTGTAATTTCGCTTTGCTGCCCAGGCTGGTCTCAAACTCCTGGAAGCAATCCTCCCACCTCAGCCTCCCAAAGTGCTGGGATTACAGGCGTGAGCCATGGTGCCCAGCCCAGAAATCTGAATTTCTAGGACTTTCAGCTCCTGGTATCGTTCACCGCAGCCCCAGCCCTGCTATCCACTTCACGTCTGGCCCCCACTGGCTCCTTCTGTTCTGAAATGGAACCGGTGCTAATTGGGTCATCAGGCATTTCTGCACGTTGAGTGCCACGTCTGCACATCCGTGAGATGCACTGAGATGCATGTTTTTGGCACTGGCTGCTCTCGTTTGTCTCCAACACACAGTTACTCCAGGATGACGTGCAGTGGAGAAACACGGATTGTTTAAAGCAGGAGCTGTTGTAATTCTTTCTCTGAAGGTTTGGCATTGGCCTTGCAAGATGGCGGCCATCATCAAAAGTGATCAAAACTCGCTTGCTCCTCAGCAGAGTTTTAATGACGTCTCCATGAACCAAATGTTATGAGACTCAAGCAGGAGACCATGTTTATCAAACCGGCTTCCCAGTGTCACAAACTAGAGTGACTTTGAGAAAAACTGATAGAGCGATTCAAAAGCTCTAATTAAAAGGAGAAAAAAGAATATTTTTCCCTGCCTACAGCAGCCATATGTATTCAGGGTGATTCTCTGTAGATTAAAAAAAAATGATCCTACCAAGAGTAACAATTTAAGTCCTTGAAAAATCTTTAGCTCTCACAAAAATTGGGAAATTTGCCTAAACTGGTGTTTAATTAAATGCAGAACAGAAATCCATTTTGGAAACTGCATTTTATTCCCAAGTAATAAAACTGGCATCGGGGGGAACTGATGGAAGGTGCCAGGCAGATGAACTATGTCCCGACAGCACCAGCCTGTCCTTGGGTTCCGTGGCCGAGCCCTTTCTGTGAGGCTGGATGCTGAGGGAGCCGTGCAAGCCGCAGCCCCACTCTCACTGAGGGCCGCGTCCACGGGGAGGCGTGTCACAGCCCCGCCTTCCCCTGCCCACTCTCACTGAGGGCCGCGTCCACGGGGAGGCGTGTCAGAGCCCCGCCTTCCCCTGCCCCTGCACCTGCTTGTCATGAAGAAGACGGCAAAGGAGGGCCTGGTGGTGCCTGCTGTGAACAATGCAGGCGACACGTGACCTCTGCAAATTCCCTGCTGGTGCCTCCGGTGAGTGTCCAGTGAACCCGGTGCCCCAGGGGTGCAGAAGTGTGCCGCCCACACCCAGTCATGCTGGGAAACAGGCTCATCCCAGAAGTCACGTGGCAACGCAACTCACGTCAGTTCATCTGTGCCGAGGGCCTACCGAGCACTCCAGGTTCCTACAGGGTCTTCATTTAATCCTTCTCAAAATCCCGTGAGGGAGAGCGTCATCCCACTGTTCAGGTGCGGACGCCAAGGCTGAGCGTATTGGGGTAGCCTGTCCACGCAGGCGGTGGGAGTCGTGCTCAGGCCCTCGGTGTGCCCTTGGCGGCGGTTACATGCCCTCTTTCAGAGACAGGTGGGGTCATCGTAACCGTTTCTGGATCACAAGGGGGAGGGATCCTACCTCTCAGGAAGTGAGTCCTGTCATGCCACTGGTTGTCTCTGAACCACAACTGTTACTAACAACGCGTGAACCTTACCACGTGGATGCTGAGTCTGTGTTCTTAATGAAATCCAGAATTAGGAAAAGAGGAGGGTCTGGCAGGAGTTTGAATGAATTATACGACACTGGACTTACACAAGGGTCAGGAGTCTGAGTGAATTTTACCTTGGCACTGGACCTACACAAGGGTAGACATTTGTGTGTAGGATAATTTAAAAAGGACTTGCAATTTGAAAATAAATGATTATTTTTATTTTAAAAGGACTTGCAATTTGAAAAGGAAACAGTGAGTAACACTGGGAAGGCAGCAGATAGCACAGTGGGTCTGCTAGGAGGGAAAGTACAAACAAATGGACCCTTGGTGAATGGGTCCAGGCGACCCGGGAAGCTGTCTGGCAGCCCCCATGGGGTCGGGCCGGCCCCCTCTCCTGGATGAGCCCGAGAAACGCTCCCCACCGTCTCCCAAGGTGACATCCTATGGCTGCTCCCAGGACTTCTCTGTGCTATCAGGGAGTGTCATCATCAGGGGAGCTGCATTTGTGGGGTAACAGGTTCAGGGGAGACGGGGCCCTGCCCACGGGGCCAGCTGGACTCTGAGTCTTTCAGTCCTGCTCTACTGCTGGCAGACGGTCTCTCCCTGAGGCTGAAGCTGCTTCCCTACAGCCACGTCACAGCACTCCGGCTCCTGGGAGGAGGGATGGGAGACGGGTAGATGGGAGGAGGGATGGGAGACGGGTAGATGGGAGGAGGGATGGGAGACGGGTAGATGGGAGGAGGGATCGGAGACGGGTAGATGGGAGGAGGGATGGGAGACGGGTAGATGGGAGGAGGGATGGGAGACGGGTAGATGGGAGGAGGGATGGGAGACGGGTAGATGGGAGGAGGGATGGGAGACGGGTAGATGGGAGGAGGGATGGGAGACGGGTAGATGGGAGGAGGGATGGGAGACGGGTAGATGGGAGGAGGGATGGGAGACGGGTACATGGGAGGAGGGATGGGAGATGGGTAGACAGATTTTTCATAAGGGCCTGGCCTGAAAGTTGCAGCCTTTGCTTTCCCTGAGGACCTCACTGGCCAGAACAGTTACATGCCGTGCGCACCTGCAAGTTAAAACTCACCGCCTCAGTGAACGGAGGAGGGCGGAATGGACATGGGGACAATCAGTTTCTGCCACAGCGATGGAAACGTACAGTGTGGCCGATGCAAACGACGGCAGGTCAGACAGCAGCTAGAATCCACCGTGAGGGGCACAGACAGCAAAACATATGTGCATCTTAGAAACAGGCTGTGAAGAGACCAGAGACAGCGAAAAGCACAACCCTGCTCACCTGAAGGCTGCTGTGGCCTGAATGCGTCCCCTCCCCAGAACGTCAGCCCCTTCACCGTGGACTTCCCAGCACCCAGAACTATGGGAAATACATTTCTTTTCTTTACGGATGAACCCGTCTCGGGTATCGTGACAGCAGCCCAGCATGGACTCTCACCATCGTCCTGTGCACTTTAATGGAAACCACTCACATCCACACGTCAGGCCCACGGCAAGGACGCTGACTCCAGGTCACAGTAGGGGAGGTGCTGGGGCCTGTGGGGCTCACACAGTTGTGTCCCAAACTGGACACAAATCACACAGCTGCCTGTGGCTGAGGTCACCAGAGGAAAACAAAAGCAAAAAAAAAAGTACAGCAGACATCTGAACAAAAGGGGTTTTTAATCCCAAGTACGAAGCCAGGAAGGAACCTGCTGGTTCGGTTCTCTGCTTCGCTCCAGCGTGCACTCCGTGTGAACTCCGTGTGAACTCCGTGTGAACACGGGGCAGCCCTGTGGCCACCGGCCTGGCCCCACCACTGCCAAAGTGCATCTTAAATGCAGAACAACAAATCATACTTCCATGTTTTGCATTTTGAAAATACTGGAAAGAAAGCTCCTTTGCAAGTGATTGAAACAGTTATTTTATATTTTGATGACTGGGCAAAAGCCACATTTCAGAGATGAAAATTAAAAAGGAAATTTAACAATTGCATAATGATAGTAGATTCAAATATATAATACTGGGAATCTAATTTTCTGAAGGCAAAATGGAGAGCAGTTCTGTCATTTCCCATAAATCTATACCCAGGACATTTTCCTGCCTATAATCTCTGCATAGTTTTGAGTGGATTAGTTCCAATGGGTGTGTTCAAGGGTATTTGCATACTAGTGCAAATATGTTACACTCAGCAGGGTGATTTCCCAAATTCATTCAGATGCTATTATTGATAACAGGATTTTCTGTGGAACTGTGTGCCACTGTGGAAGGGCTGATCTGAGTTACTGCCTGTACAGACACAGATGCACTTTATTGCCTGGATGAATTTAGACATGGGGGGCAGGAACCTGAGGCCAGGCTTTCCTCCCGTCCACCAGCATCTACCAGCATCCAGGGAGAGCAAGAGACGGCATATCTGTGCCAGTGGAGCTGTCTTTAGAATAACCAAGTATTTAGTTAAAATAACACATACCTATTTCTTTGCATTTCACCCTGAAAACAACAAGAATAGAGTTTGCAAAAGGGGTTTTACGCTCGGAGTGTGGTAAACTGGCTTCTTGGCTAAGAGCAGGGCTTTCTTTTATTCTGTGCCATCCTCAAGGTCAAGCACAGAGAATTCCAGGGTGGGTGTATCCTGTGCATCGTGGAAATGCTCAGAGCCCCTGGCCCTGGGGGGAGGGTCCACAGGGGAGAGATGAGCCCTGCTGTCACCTTTGTCAGATGTCAGGACCGCACCTCTCCCGAGGGTGGGGGGAAGGGGTGCCAAGCGCGGGCTGCTCTGAGCTCTTCCCGCAGGAAGGTGGGCTCAGATCATGAAGCAATCCCCTCAGGAGGCAGGAGCGGGAAGACGGGGCTCCAAGGCTCTGTGGCCCCTGGCCGAGCAGCGTGACCATGAGTCCCGGTGCTATCCGTCCACACGAAGACAGAGCAGCTGCACAGGGCGGACGGCTCATCAGAGCAGGTGAGCTGACAGCTGGGCGCCAGCATGAGCTTTCCAGGAATCGGTGTCAGGGCCGGGAGGAGCGGTGGCCCCAGGTTGGGAGGAGACGTGACAGGACTAGGCCTGGGGAAGCGGGTGCTGGGCCTCAGGGGGAAGGCGGCAGCTGCAACATCCGACACCCAGGGCGGCGGGGCCTGAGCACCCCAGGACCAGGCCAGGCAGGGGCGGCCTCCCTGCTGAGTAACCCGGGCCACGTGGCAGCCTCCCTGCCGAGTGACCTGGGCCAGGCAGGGGCAGCCTCCCTGCTGAGTAACCTGGGCCATGTGGCAGCCTCCCTGCTGAGTGACCTGGGCCAGGTGAGGGCGGCCTCCCTGCTGAGTGATCTGGGCCACGTGGTGGCCTCCCTGCTGAGTGACCTGGGCCACGTGGGGCCTCCCTGCCGAGTGACCTGGGCCAGGCGGGGGTGGCCTCCCTGCTGAGTGACCTGGGCCACGTGGCGGCCTCCCTGCTGAGTGACCTGGGCCACGTGGGGTCTCCCTGCTGAGTGACCTGGGTCACGTGGGGCCTCCCTGCTGAGTGACCTGGCGGGGCCCGCGGGATGGCACGGGGTCTCCCTGCTGAGTGACCTGGGCCAGTGGGGCTCCCTGCTGAGTGACTGGCCACGTGGGTCCCTGCTGAGTACTGCCATGGGGTCTCCTGCTGAGTGACCTGGGCCACGTGGGGCCTCCCTGCTGAGTGACCTGGCCCTGGGGTCTCCCTGCTGAGTGACCCCATGTGATCTGGCCACATGGGGCCTCCCTGCTGAGTGACCTGGCCACGTGGGGTCTCCCTGCCGAGTGACCTGGGCCACGTGGGGTCTCCGTGCTGAGTGACCTGGGCCACGTGGGGTCTCCCTGCTGAGTGACCTGGGCCACGTGGGGCCTCCCTGCTGAGTGACCTGGGCCACGTGGGGCCTCCCTGCTGAGTGACCTGGCCACGTGGGGCCTCCCTGCTGAGTGACCTGGGCCACGTGGGGTCTCCCTGCTGAGTGACCTGGGCCACGTGGGGCCTCCCTGCTGAGTGACCTGGCCACATGGGGTCTCCCTGCTGAGTGACCCCATGTGATCTGGCCACATGGGGCCTCCCTGCTGAGTGACCTGGCCACGTGGGGTCTCCCTGCCGAGTGACCTGGGCCACGTGGGGCCTCCCTGCTGAGTGACCTGGCCACGTGGGGTCTCCCTGCCGAGTGACCTGGCCACATGGGGTCTCCGTGCTGAGTGACCTGGGCCACGTGGGGCCTCCCTGCTGAGTGACCTGGCCACGTGGGGTCTCCCTGCTGAGTGACCCCATGTGATCTGGCCACATGGGGCTTCCCTGCTGAGTGATCTGGGCCACGTGGGGCCTCCCTGCTGAGTGACCTGGGCCACTTGGGGCCTCCCTGCTGAGTGACCTGGCCACGGGGCGGCCTCCCTCCCTGCGTGTGACCTGCACGTCCCGTGCTTGGCTTTGGGGCACGTTCAGAAGAACGAGGCTGGCAGGCTGTGGTCTTGGTGCTCGCTCCATGCCGGGAGTGCGCAGAGCTGAACGTGTGTTGAGTGTGCGGCTCGGCGTGGAGCCCGCGTTCCTCTCTGCGCGGGAGGGAGCTGCTTCCCCCTCAGTGCTGCCAAGGACGATGCCGGCCTCCGCCAGGCCGAGTCAGCGCTGTGTCCCGGGGTCTGGCTCCGCGGCCCTGTCCACGCCGGGCCTCCCTGTTCCAGCTTTAGTGACGGCCTCAGGGGAGAATGCAGGCAGAGCGGGCTCTCCTTTTCCTGCCCTGGGGGCTGACACCTGACTCACGGATGCCACTGAAAGGGCGGCCCTTGTCGCCTCATCGCTTTTCATCAGTTACCGTCCTCGGCAGGACATGGGCACCTCCTAAAGTGAGAATGAAATGGGCTTGAGCTCCCAGCAGCAGCCGCCCCGTGACTGCAGGTGCCCCCGAGGCCGGCCCCAGGCACGGAGAGGGAAGCAGCCAGGCAGCCGGCCAGGGAGGCACCGTGCCAACGGAACCGTGCCAGCGCGCTCAGATTCCAGAGCCGGCGCCGAGCCGAACGGCGGGAGAGGAGGAGAACGTGAGGCGCAGGACGCAAGTTCAGGCCACCCTGACCCTGAGGAGGTGCAGCCGCCCCGCAGCGCGTGCTGGTAAAACGGTCTCTTCTGCTGTGGGCTCCGAGGCCTGCAGAGCCCAGACCTGACCTTGCAAAGCGAGAGGAGAGCGAGGGGCCGCGGCCACCGCAGGAGGCTTCACCGATTCGTGGTGAAAGGTCCACGTGAAATCCCAGGAGAGCCCAGGAGAGTGTGACTGGGAGATAGATCTGGGGTCCTGTCGCCACAGCGGTGTGTAAACAGTTTACAAATGACAGCAGATGTTAATCAACGAAGCCACGCAGAACAGCCCTCGTTCGTGCACGGTAGAGCTCCAGTCTTGCACAGGTTCAGTGGTTTCAGGAAGATGCGTTGTTGGGGAACCACAGTCCCTGGCTTATCGCACACACTTGCCATGGCTAGATTCAGGCCAACAGGGATACAGCATTTCAGTTAAGTTGAATCAGACGCTGCAAGTCAATGTCAGTTGTTTTGGGCTTAAGTTCACGTCTGGTCCAGCTTAAGCTGTTAGTCCAGGGTTGGGAAGAGAAGTGGCGCTGGGCTGACAGGGTCCTCATCTCCTAAACCTGCCTGATGCTGTGAGGCCCTGGGGTGGGGGGGAGTGGGAAAAGAGGGAAAGGGATTTTGAAAATACTGATTCTAATTTTGAAATCTGTCTTTAAACATATCATCCCAGGGCTCCTTGGAGAAGCAGCTGACCCCAGCTCTGGGGCACGGAAAGTTTCAGGTGAGCCTGGGGCTTCGGGGCCTTCAGAGCAAGAAAGTGCCCTTGGCAATGGGGCAGGTGGAGAAGATGCACGAGCCAGCCCAGAGGGGCTCCCTGGCCAAAGAAGAACCTGGGAGTCCACGAAGTGGGAAGGGGGATTAGGGAGAGAGCCAGAGAGCTGGGGGCGGAGACAGGAGAGCCAGAGAGAGAGGGGCAGGCAGGGTTGGGGGAGAGGAGTAAGGGGAGAGAGAGGCTGAGATGGAGAGGGAGGGGCAGGCAGGGTTGGGGGAGAAGAGTGAGGGGAGAGAGGCTGAAATGCAGTGGGAGGGGCAGGGCATCTCGCTTCCCTTCAGCGGCCACTACGACATCATTGTCAACTCTTTACACGGAAATCAGTGAGGAAAGGGATTGACTTCAGCAGTTCCTCCTTGCTTAAGAGAAACTGTTTCATCTCCTCTTGATGAGAAAATACCTTTTTCACAGAATGCTTGGTAATAAATGTGGCAGGAACGGTAAAACTAGTTCGACTATTGTGCAACCCAGATGAAGGCACTGATTTAGGAAAAGGCCGTTGACAGTTGCCGAGGCCTCGGGGACCTGGAGGCAGAGCGTCTGCGGGCGCTGAGGCATCTCTGCATGGGTTTACCAGTGACGGCTCTGCAGTCACCTCTTCAGACAAGGGATTGCCCTGGTGCTCCATGCCACCCACCGACGCCTTCCCTGAGCTCACCCTGCACCCACATGCCTCTGAATCCGACGCCTGCAGACCTTACTTCCGGTGGCAGGAAACGCAGCTGGCAGAAGGAAAGGTTACGTGATGGAGGGAGAATCCTTTCCATAAGAGCAAGACTGTGGCCTGGCCCCATCAGTCACCACCTTTAGGGAAGCAGCGGACAGAGATCAATGAGACAACACAGGCCCGCAACCAAGTGCAGAGCCCGACTGTTGTTGGCTGCTGGTGGGAAAGACGTGCTGAGGACAGTGGGGAAATCCAAACAGGAACGGAGTGGAGTTGATATCACATAAAGTGACCACGATGGTTCTGCCTGGGATGGTTCTGGCTCACACCTGCTGTTCCGGCATAATTATTAATCCCAACTCATTCACTTTCCAAAGTGTCGTGTTCTGGTGATAATTCCCATGGTCACTCAAAAGCTGGGGAATTGGTGTTAGTTGTCTTAGGCGTGAATAATGGTGTTGAGCTTACAGGGCATCTTCATTCCTAGGAGATGCCTCGGGCTCAGAGAATGTAAGCTACTTGGAGAGACCAGGGGCACACAGCTCATGTGATGTAGAACTGGTTTATAAAAGCCGTGGTAAACAAAACCCAAAAGTGGGCACGGGACTGGAATGGACATTTCTCCTAAGAAGATATACAAAGGTCAACAGGCACACAAAAAGACGTCTGACACCACTCATCAGCACGGAAATGCAAATCTAAACCACGAGGTGCTGCTTCATAACCATCGGGATGATTATCATATACTGTCACAAACCAGAAATAAGTGCTGGGGAGGATGAGGAGGTACGAGCACCCTCGTGCGCTGTTGCTGGGAATGAAAAACGGTGCAGCTGTTGTGGAAGACGGTGTGAAAGTTCCTCAGAAAACGAAACCCAAATTTAATTACTATATGATCCAGCATTTCCACTTCTGGGCATAAACCCCGACCTTGAAAGCTGGCACTCAGCAGGTGCTTGTACACCCACGTCCGGAGCAACATTATTCAACAGCCAAAAGGCAAAAGCAGCACCATGTCCATCTACAGATGATGCAAATGAACAAACAGTGCAATGTGCTAACACGAACTAAATATGGCCGGCGAAGGATGCCAGGACGTCTACATTTGAGTCCTTGTGGACGAACTGTAACCCACCTTAATAGCAGACAGGACTGAAAACCTAATTCAGGAGTCTGTGCCTGTGACAGTGGCCAAGTCTTGACCAATCCCAGCGGCCATACGTCAACCACGCATAGACTGCCGAGTGTTCAAACTGTTTCAATAAGGCAAACGCCAACCTGGAACCAATGCAGCCATTCTGTACCTCTCTGCCGATTTTTATACATCACTTCCCCCCCTTTTTTTTTTGTCTGTATATTTGTTCTGACCATGAGGCATCCCTGGAGTCTCTCGGAATCTGCGGTGATGCTGGTGCTGCCCGATTCATGAATCATTCATTGCTCAATTAAACTCCTTTAAATTTAATTCAGTTGAAGTGTTTCTTTTAACAAATGGAATATGATTCAGCCTTAAAAAGGAGGGGAGTCAACACAGGCTGTAACACGAGGAACGCTGAGAATGTTATGCTGAGTGAAATAAGCTGGTCACAGAAGGACGAATCCTTGGGGGTGGCACTGAGGAGAGGTCCCCGAGGAGTCGGAGCCACAGAGACAGAAAGTAGGATGGTCGGTGGCTGCCAGGTGCGGAGTTCCTGTCTAATGGGGACAGAGTTTAGGTTTACGAACTCTACATTTTAAAATGTAAATTTTACAGTATGTGTATTTTATCACAATAAACATGTATTTTTTAAGTGTAGTAGACTTTGCCTCAAAAGCCCCAGTTCTTTCAATCTAAATAAGAAAATAATGCAAAATACACCAAAGACTTTAAGACCCTGTTCATCCTAAGGCAACGTAACAGTTCACAAATAAAGGAATAGCTAAGTTAATTGAGGTCCATTAACTTATTAGCATATTGTGCTGCCGTCAGGATGGACGGCCAGGAAGCTCCTTCAGAAGC